TATAAAACTAAATAAAATAAAACCTTGAAATATAAACAAGGAAAGTAAACAAAATATTGCTAAATTATATTTTAGATTGATTTTATGATCCATGTTAGAACTGGCCTATGGAAAATCTGACCGTAGCATATGCTACAGTTGCAACGGTTTAAATCCGCCCCTGGTTACTGTAGATGAAATGGTGGGCAACGATGAAGACACATATTCCCGCAAGCTAGATATTCGATTCTAACTGGACTTGCTGGTTCTAACTGGATTGTGTAAGACCAATTAGAATCTATTCTAACTGGACTCACACACAGTCTAGTTAAAATCAAATGTCTAACTTGAATCGCCTTTCTGATAGACAACTCATTATATGCCTGGTACAGACGAGCAAGTTTTCCTTAACGTGTTTTCTTGCTCGTGTAGACAATGAGCAAGTTTTCCTTAACAAGTTTTACGAGTTCACATTATTTGAGTACGTAAACAATTTCATAATTATGGTAAGTACTTCATGGTAAGTACTTTATAGTAAGTACAATTATAGTAAGTACAGTTTCAGCGAATCATACGGTATATGTGATCATACTGAAAAGTTAGTCATAACTCTGACCCTAATCTAACCCTAGTTTTACCACCATCTGACTGTTTTAACCTTCTTTTAATCACCTTTATCATAACTACTATGTGTTCCTAACACGAAGTAGTTACTATAATTTTTGTTCAAAGCTGTTTCCAACAAACGTATAAATAACCGAAGCCATCCACGATGCCACACTATAACAGCAAATTTCAAAATAAACGAGATTTACTCAGGGAAATACTATACAATTATATATATATATACGTGACAAATTTCCCTAATTGGCGATCGTACACACGATAACACGAACTAATTTACTAGTTGAAGAGCTGGCATGACTGACTTTTTAACAAAGCTCCTTGTCAAGGAAAATTTGTCATGTTTTTGCCGTACGCATAAACAAATCAAACTTATGGAGGAAAATTTGCACGTCTGCATGTACAGGGCTTTAGGCATCATTTCAATGGTGAATGGATTCTTATTAAATTATTGTATTCACCCATTGCCATAAACAAGCTTTATTGCTTTAACAAATGTTTCATAGACGTAGATTTAAAACTATGATATCTTAGTGGTTGCTCAATCTTTGTATAGGACGTGCATTCCTGCCGAAGCTGAACCAACGCTAAAGTCAAGTTCGTGTTATCCTTTGGTAAACTTTACCCGTCCTTTTTGTCAAAATAATAATGGAATCACTTTACCCAACTACGTATATGAGACGCCCGACTTTCAGAACGATAGAAACGATGAAATCATCTGGAACTACAATGAAGCTGTGAAGATAGGCGTATCAAGAATAAGCCGTTTTTCAAAAGTTGCCATCAGCGCTGTTAGAAAGTGCGCAAAAGCTGTCACCATAATGATTGTCATAATTATTTTCCGAGTTGTGATCGAACCCAAAGCGTGTATAAGGAACACAAGGTATGTCATGAGTCGTGTCTTGACTTGACTCACATGTGTGGTAAACTGTGGGAAATATTTGTAAGATATCGTACAATTGAGCACCCGGAGGAAAAGAAGCTCTATCGTTGCGAACTACAACCGACTAGGAATGCTGGCGACTCACCAGAATGTTGGTATTTCAATGGACTCGGAAACTCTGCAGGTAACATTATAATCAACTCTCGTCCACTCTCATTTACGCTTGACAAAGGCTTCTTCTCATTTTACTCCATCATCGAAAACTAATTCTTCCGCCTTGGTTATGCTCTGTAATCAACATTGGTGACATGCTTTTTAACCACCATATTCTTTATTGTATCTCATTATTAGATACATCTCCAGCTCCGGAATGGACTACAAACGGAGGTAAGAACCAAGGGAGCATCCTACACCAAACCAAGGATTATAGCTTGTTAGAAGAAAGCTTTTACAAACACTTCCAAACACCACAGGTTTTTCCTGGTACTCCAGTTACTCCTACTGTAATAACACCGGTCCTAATAGAAATGGACCTTTCTGAGCCTCAGGGAAGAACAATTTAGAACTAATAAAGTATAAGTAATTTTAATTAGTTTAGGTTTCCAGTATAAATAAAATAATTTAGTTTAAATTTCCCCTAGTGGAAACACTGGAACAATAAGGGATGATCCTTACTGGACCTCCAGAGAGAACAGTTTAGACCTATAAAAAAATAAAAAATTTACATTTTTGTTTGCGTTGTGTCTTTTTTACTTGCGTTGTGACTTTTTTATTTGCGTTGTGACATTTTTATTTGCGTTCTGAGTTTTTTTATTTGCGTTGTAAATTTTTTTATTTGCGTTGTGAGTTTTTTTTTATTTGCGTTGTGTTTTTTTTTGCGTTGTGAGTTGCGTTTATTTGCGTTGGGAGTTGCGTTTTATTGTTAGTTTCTTTTAAGCGATGGCCATTTTGGGCCACCGTAATATCCGGTATAAATAAAGTTAGTTTAGTTTATGTTGCCTCCTGCTGTCCTGCAGTGACACTGGATCTAAATATATAGGCATCACTCTTACTGGACCTCAAGGGTGAACAGTTTAGAACTGATAGAGCCATCTAGCATAAACTTTGACAATGTACCGTATACATATAACATTATGTACAATTTATAACAATATCTATAAACAACTAATTTTGTGTCCCAAAACTGGGACAATAAATCCAAACTATAATAATTATCTTTCCACACAGATTGCCTGTATTTAAACGGGAGCAGTTACAATGGCAACATTTCAGTAACAACCTCTGGTATTTTGTGTCAGTCATGGACAGAGCAATGTCCACATCGTCATACCATGAACAAAGCATATCCAGAACTAAACAGCGCCAAGAATTATTGTCGAAATCCTAAGAACTCTGGACAACGACCTGGGTGTTTTTCTGCAGATAGGAACAAAAGATGGGAGTACTGTGATATCCCTAAATGCTTACCAGGTATAGAGTAATAATGTACTGCGATATCCCTAAAAGTACACCGGGTATAGAGTGATATTGTACTGTGATATCTCCAAATGCATACCAGGTGCCGAGAGATATTGTACTGTGATATCCCTAAATGTGTACTGGGTTAACTGCAAAGTTCGAGGTTGGATCAACTGCAAAATAATTAAACAGTTAATTGTGCCATTTGTCCTCATGCGAACGTGGGTCGTATGGTGCATAGCGCCTTAGTTTCCCTTCGAGCAGTCCACGCTGGTCATATTCAGCAAATTTTATCCCAGTACCGCAGGCTCGCATTTTCAGCGGACTTGCGTTAAAACAATTGAAATTTTTGCATTTTTCATAGAACTGGCCACTTTCTGTAAGATGTCCGCTGACAATACGAGTGGGAGAAATTTTGCTAAATTTGACCAGCGTGATCGGATGCAACTGGCCTGCTTGCAACTTGCGTTGTGTGCATGAGTTACACAGTACAACCCAAGTTGTAAGCCGGTTGCATGCGATAGTTTTAGGCAAACGTTGTGCAGTGTAAATCTGCGTAAAAAACAAGGTTGTTTATAAGAGGCAAGAAAACCTCACTGTTTTTTTGCATAGTTGATGGCAGTTATAGCAACTGGTCATTAAACAGTACGTGCAATGTAACTTGTGGTGAAGGTTTTGAAACATGGACACGAGAATGTACCAACCCTGAACCACAGTATGGTGGAAGAAACTGCAGTCATTTAGGAGAACCTGTTGAGTACAGATCATATTCAGCAAAGCCTTGCCCGGGTAAGTCAATTCTAGCTTTATTAATAAAAGAATTCTCTATACAAAGCGACCTTCAATTTTCCTTGGCATATTTTTATTATTATCTGTAGTTAACGGTGGTTACGGCAACTGGATTTTGAGTAAGCCATGCAATGTTTCATGCGGTGATGGAGTGGAAATGTGGCGACGTTTTTGTAATAATCCTGAACCAAAATACGGCGGTCATAACTGCAATGGTCTTGGGAACTCGACTGAGTTTAGAAACTGCAGCAGAACACCATGTTCAAGTAGGGCTAAAAGACCAGCTAAACTAAAATTACTAAACTAACATTCTGCAAACTTAGTGTTCTATACTGAACAGCTCTGTAAGTTCTATAACTGTCTTCCATAATGGGGGGAATTTAGTAACGTTATGATAAAGATCAGTGCTGAAAATACGTAAAACAGCCACCACAAAATAGATTCGAGTAAGAGCCCGCATCTAAGAACCTAGATTTTTCTAAGTTAATTAACCTGAAGAGGTTCTTATGTACACGGTGCTTACATGCAGCAAATTGGGCTAAACAGGTACTGAAATGGGTTCTTATTTTCTTGAAAAAACGACTCATTTTCGACAGGTGTGGTATATAATTTATTAAAATTATGCACAAATTATCTAACAATCCATGTTGCTGGACGCATTGCTTACACTCACTAGTATTTGAGATTGTCATGTACCAATTTACTGAATAAATAAAATGATTTGTTGCTGTGTTCATATAGACATGTTATATATCTGAATAATATTTCCGGCATTATGGATCATTTTCACTACTTTGTGAAGGGATTTTAGTTTGACTCTATATGACAAAATAAGGACCTGCTTTGGGATTCTAGCCTAAACAGGTTCTTATGCGGACTTTTTACTGTATGTTTCGTCCCCTGAGCGGAGGTGAATACCCCGAGTGTCATGTTGGATCAAGACAAGGCTTTTTTCTTTAGAATTGCATTGAATTTCTTCTTAGCATAACCAAAATATCATCCATATCACAGTGCCACGGACAGTGCCTTATTTTGCATTTTATTTCTAGTCGATGGTTTCTACGGCAAATGGACAACGTCACGATGTAGTGCCACGTGTGGTTAGGGTGTGGAAATACGGACACGTCAATGTGATAACCCCCCCCCCCCCCCC